ATATATATATATATATATATATATATTATATATATATATATATATATATATATATATATATATATATATATATATATATATATATATATATATATATATATATATATATATATATATATATATATATATATATAAACTACCGTCCATTAATAATTTTTTCAGAAGGTTAAACATGTTGTTCAACGTATTTTCTTTATTTCTTCATTTGCTAATAAGATTTTATATCTTGGAAAGTAAGGTAAAGAAGTTTTTAAAAACTAGACAAAATAAAAGATTGATATATATTCGGCCAACGCCTGCACTTCTTTTTCTAGATCACATGTCAAATCATAAGAAAAACTGCAATAACTGAATCTTGAGATAGTTTTATAAAACGTAAGACATAAAACGTGCACGAGACACAGACCCTGAAGCCTGAATTTGAAAAATTCTTTTAGGACATAAGTACATCAGATTCATGTTCAATAGCTCTTTAAAATCTCTTTTGGGGAACAGTTTTTAATTAAAAGACGTCTTGCAAAATTTTACATTATCTAGTGAAGGGAGATTGGGTTTCATGTTTAGCAAACTTTGTAGGGTTCAAGCTACTTTAATATAATTCCAGTTAATTTGGAGCCGTTTGAACAATGGTTGTCTTGAGTTTTAGTTTTTTCACAGCTAGGCTTTTCATTAAAATTTTTGATATGTAGTTTATAGATATTTCTCTTGTAAGCCCGTTTTAGTAAAGTTCATTTTTGTTTAAGACTAAACTTGATATTGGTACCCGAAAGTTCTTCTGTATTTGTAGCAGTTGTATCATAACATACATAACAGTCCCAAAAAGCTAAATTAGGCCTTAAAAATAAAGGTCCTCGTCGGTTTACATTTGCCGATTGCAACTAAAGATCCAAAATGAAAACTCCACTCTCCAATTTTGCCGACAAATTGTTGAATAAAATTTTCATAGGGGTTAAACATCCCTTCCGCCCCCTCGAGACGGCCCTGCAACCATATCATCGCACATTCCATATTCTTTCAGTATTTTGATTAAAGCATCATACTAAGCTTGTCCATTACAACAAATAATAGCTGAAATGCTAAGCAACTTTATTTCCCCAGCACTATTTACTGAGACTGCAAATCTCTCTCTTATTGAAATTTTACCTTCTTTTATATATTCTATAATTTTTCTTAGTGAAAGTACTACAATGGGAAAAATAGCTTTACTGGTAATAAAATAGTTAATTGTAGCGATTTTAAAATTTTGCTGATATTGTTCAGCATTTTCTCGAACTTTCTTTTGAACTCTAATGAGACAAATAAAAATCAGACACATTTCCATCCTTTTGATTAAATCCGTGCATACATGAATTAGATCTTTTAATGAAATTTTTTTTGATACTGATATCATGGCAATATTTTTAAAAAAATCTCCACTAACACTTGTTCTATAAAATACTTGGTTCTGATTGCCCTAAACCAAATGAATTATCGGATTCCTTACTAGCATCACTCATGTCTAAGAAAAAACTCTGGCTCTGTAGATTTGACTACTTGATTTATTTGCTTTATGTTAAGACATTTCAACTGCCTCTTTTTTTTGTTTTTTGACTTACATTTCATGTCTATGTTCATAAGGCAACTTGTCCTTTAGTCCTTTAAAAATTTAATACCAGCATAATATGAAAGTTCATCGAAACTTGTTTTCTTTAAGATTTTTTAGTATTGTCTTTGCGAATTCAAAAAATTTGTCTCTCTTTCGGTGCTGCCTCTTTCTGCCGCCTTAAAGCCAATTTTTGATTTAATGAGTGATATTACCCATACAAAAGTTATGAAATGAAAATAAAAAATTAAAAATAATAATGACATATTTAAACAATTCAGTATATTGCACATACTAGCTCTAAGGCAACCAAAGTATTACAAAAAATTTTTATTTAATTTAATCAAAAGTTAATCAAACAAACCATATTTTAGTTATTTCAAATGCTACAAATCTATATGTAATAATAATAACAATAAATATGATACAGATTAGTTAGAATGGTATACAAAACAAAACCATTCTACTAGCTTTTTAACAAGAGAGTTTAAAATACTTATATGTGCGGAAACATTTTTTGATTTGTTACAAAAGTTATTTGAATCAAATAAATATGCTCTAGCTTTTAGTCTTTTAAATTTAGCCGTTCGTAACTTTAACTTTTATTTTTGTAACTTTAACCGTAACTTTAACCATTTTAAATAATATACTTAAATAATATATATAAATAATACTTCAGAAAATATTTAAGAAGGCTACTTATTATTAGTTACGGAAATGCAGTTTTGAATACTTTGGAAAATAGATATTTTTTTTTTTTTTAATTTAATATATATTAAATATATTTTAATAATGACTACTTTTTTAACAATTGTTGGGATTTTTAATTTGGCTTAGGGGTCGTCCATAAATCACGTCACGCTATAAGGGGGAAGGGGGGGGGGAAGGGTTGGTGGTTTTGTGACGACTCATTCAAAA